CATACAGTGGTACCTCAGGTTAAGTACTTAATTCGTTCTGGAGGTCCGTTCTTAACCTGAAATTGTTCTTAACCTGAAGCACCACTTTAGCTAATGGGGCCTCCTACTGCTGCCGCGCCGCCGGAGCACGATTTCTGTTCTCATCCTGAAGCAAAGTGCTTAACCCAAGGTGCTATTTCTGGGTTAGCAGAGTCTGTAACCTGAAGTGTCTGTAACCCGAGGTACTACTGTAACGTTTTGGAAAGTGCAAAATGAATTGCATTTCACCCCTGTTGCCTACTTGGATGGCGCTGTGTGCCTGTAGGGGCCAGTTCAGATGGCTGAACGTATGGCCGGCAGGGGACACGATGAGCTCAACCGGGGACGGGTCTGACACGTGCGCACAAGCTGGAAATGACACAGAACAAATGGCCAGCCTCCAGCTTCTCTGCCTTGTACTTTTGTATATCGGTGCACCGGCGCGTTCTTTCACTGTCACATCGGTTCTAATGAATGTTATTCGCACACCTGCCAAATTCGAGGTGGCTTCTGAGTGTCATTTATAAGCTGAGGAGGGGGGGGAAACATGGACGTTTTCTGCTTTGCTCATTTCGGTACAAATCTCCCGAGTAGCTGTCAACACCACTTTCCTCTCGTACTTCACCCCCCTTCCACCTCTTTCGTATAATTCCTTGCTATCTTCTATGTGGTCAGCCTCTTGTTCAAAATACATTTTAATAGCGTTAAGGGAAAAGGGGGGTGGGGTGGAAATGCACCCCCAACAACACTATAAAGAAATTGAAGGCTGTTAGTAAGTACTGAGAGGAGAAGATGGTTTTTAATCTCTCGTACAGCGTTGCTTATGCAGTAATGAGATTGAAATAACAGCGGGACGCAATGTTATGTATCATAGCAAATTCTGCTCGGTGTTTTCCCCATGCAAATAGTCTTAGTGAAGAGCTGGAATTGGGGTGGGTGGGGGGTGTTATTGTTTTATTTTTACAAAGGAAAGAAATGGAGCATGTAGGTCAGGACTGTGTGTGTCTTTTGGTTGGATAGCGCAAGGCAAGCAAATTATCTGGCCTAATTGTGAATATATTGTCTGTCTTGGCTTGTTTCTCGCCTGCTCCTGCCTCTCCCTGCCTGCCGCTCCTTCTCTTGCTGTGGCTGTGATATTTGAATGCCTTTGCGAAGTGCTGAACAGATCGGTCAAAAGCTTGTCTGCACACGGAGCCCCCCTCAATTTGTCTTGTGGTTAGAAATTGGCCACAAGGGGGATCCCCAAGGGTTAGCCGGTCATCTGCTGCCGTTAGCCTTAGGGCTACAAAGCCAGCTGGAAATGACAGAAACCCTCTTGAGCTGCAGAGGACATTGCAAGGTTAAACTAGGTTCTTTCTTCTTTTCCATTTTTGTTTTTTAAACAAGGGTGCGTTATTCCCCCCACAGCCACCTTTTTTGGTTAAACTGAACAAGTGCATATTCAGCAACCATTTTATACAGGGGTTACATTCCGAGGCCCCACACATTTAAGTGAAATCACACATATTGGGAACACCATTGAAAAAGCTTGCAAACAACGCAGTCACTCCCTCCAAATCTGCTTGCTCAAATTCCAACTCTCCACAGTCCTCAACAGCTGGTGCAAGGGCTCATGGGATTGCACTTGCAAAGGTTCGTGGGATTGCTAGGTGCTGTTTTCGCCCTTTCTGCGCTCTTTTAGGTAACGCTGCACTAGATAGGGAATAACCTGACCCAGTGTAAGGCTGCTTCCTCTGCGTGTGGCACGCTGCAAAGCCCTTATAATAAGAGAGATATTACAGCTTGTCGGACCAGCTGGATTAAGTTGACTTAGGGATCTATACAGGTGCTGCCGGCCTTCTGATTTGCGTGTGGCTCTCCATCCTGAGCTTGGGTTGCCATATGCCTGGAATTTCCCAGACATTGCCAGGATTTGCCTGTCGGAAACAGTGTCCGGGCGCAAATTGCTGAAATGTCCAGGAAAATCCGGACATATGGCAACCCATGTTGGAAGCGTAGGTTTTGGTGAATTTCCTTAAAAATAGCTCAAAAACTTCATATTTTATTTTTGCAAAAAAACCACAACTCAGCAACTTTTGTAAATGGATTTTCACATATGGCAATCCTAGCCTGAGCTACGTGTTAGATTGCAGGGATAGAGAACCCTTTTCACCCTGAGGGCCACTTTCCCTTATGAGCAGCAGCCCACTAGGGGTCGTGAGCCAGTGATGAGCGGAGCCAGAGGCAAAAGTGGATGGAGCAACACATGCAAATGTTTACCTTTGAGAAGTAGGCTAATTTTTACACACACTCGCTTACCCCTATTGTACCCGCCATCCAGACAAGGAAGAGGTCAAATGCACATCCCAGCCTGGCAAAAACATTCTGGGTACGGAGCAGAGCTGGTGAAGTTTGTAGCCTGGGGAGAAGTAAGAGGGCCAGATGAAGAGGTATGGAGGGCCACATTCATCTCCTAGGCCCGAGATTCCACACCCCTATGTTGCTTTACCTGTTCTTCTGATTTCCGGAGCCTAACTGCCTGTCGGTCAAGCCTGCCTGATGGACAGCACCTGCTTCTGGCTCCCCACAGCTGCTGTTTCGGGAAATTGACTTGCACCCTGACCTCGACTGCAGCTCTGCCATCTGATACTGACAAGGAGTAATCCTTCAGATCCTAACCCTAAAAACTGGGCCCGAGCTCACTGGGTTGTTGCGGGTCTAAATTTGGCTGCCAGGTCGCAAAGCCCTTTTGCGTTGCAGTGAATGCAGACAATTTCCTTCATAAGCGAGGCCAAGAATATGTCAGGCTCTGTATTGCAAGGATTTCAGTTCCTGGGAGGTGAGCAGCAGCTGTCGTCCCACAGCTCTTAGGGGCCAAAACAATATCAGAATGACTTGTTTCTGCCAGGCACCTCTGTAATAATGCATTGGGCTTTCGTCTTCTTCTGCTTGACCTTCGGGCGACAGACTGTAACTAAATGGCAATGTGGGAAAGGGAGGCCTGTTTAGGAGAGAACTCTTTCAGACTGAAAACAGTCGCAGCTTTGGCGTCAAAGCGACGACAGCATGGATGGACTTTAATGGGTTTTGTGCGCTTTGGTGGACCCCTGTGGGCTTCTGAGTTGTTTGCCGGGGGTGGGGTGGGGATAGAAACACCTTTTAAAGTGTGCATGCAGAAGGATGAAGAGAGAGAAAACAGGAACGACAAAATAAAATCCAACCACAGTATAGATGATTGTTGCAAAAATGAAGCTCTATTCTGTGAGCGGTGCTCTACAGGTGTCATGTCATCTCTATGTAGTACAGGAGTGGGGAAGGCTTTTTCAAACCAAGGGCCACATTTCCCTTTGCATAACTTTCTGGGGGCCAGGGGCAAATGTGGGTGGGGCAGTGGCAGTGGCTTTTATCCCAAAACACAATGACAGTGGCCTGAGGAATTTCATATTTGAGAATCCAGTATGAACAACTGGGATAGCTCCGTAAATAGAGCACGGGACTCTTAATGTCAGGGTTGTGGGTTCAAGCCCTATTCTGAGCAAAAGATTCCTGCATTGCAGGGGGCTGGAATGGATGACCCTTAGGGTCTCCCCTCCAACTCTACAATTCTATGATTCTATGTGGAATTCCCTCCCCACAGAGGTGCATCTGGTTCCTTTGCTGTACAGCTTTCAGTGAATGGTGAAGATGCACTGGCCTTGGACTCCTGAGATGTATGTTTGCAGAACCCGCCCTATTCCCGTGTCATCTGTTTTAGAACTCTTTCTAATGCTATATCTTATATTGCTGTAACCCACCCTGCTGGTGAAGGGCAGTTAATAAATGTTGGAAGATTAAGAATCTGCACCTGTTTTGCACAACAGCCACTATCTTCCTCTGCCAACATGGCTGCTCTGGTTAGGTCTAGTTTTCCTGCCTTGATCTGGTAGCAGTCAGATATCAGGGCAATCTAGGAATGGTGGGTCTTCAGGGGAAGCAGAGGTCAAGCCCAGCAAGGCTGTGCAAGAGTGGGCATGACCTAGTAGCACAGAGCTGAAGTCAAACACTGGTCAGCTGGATTCCAAAAGCAAGATATTAGCAGGGTCAGTAGCACAAAACCAGCTGTGCAACCCCAATAGCCTGCAATGCTCCAGCAAATAACAGTATTCGGTGGAGAGTTCATGTAGCACGCGGAGGGCCCACAGTTCAGTGGCAGATGGACCAAGGGTCTGACTCTGTATAAGGCAGTTTCCTATGCTCCTGGTTTCCCAGACCTAGCAGCAATTGGTTAGACTAGCCTTCAAGAGTCTTTATTTCTCAGGAGTCCTCTTACTACCAAGGACCCTTGAGTCACACATACCTTTGAACCACAGGTGGCTGCCTGCACCTTGTGCTGTGGCATTCCTGGGCCTGAAAGATAGTTTGACTTCCCACCCAGTGCAGGCTGGTCCATTTGGGTGAACGGGGCACCACCCCACCAACCTTAAGTTTTTTTAACACCTGGTCGCCACCTTACATTAAAAATGAAATTTTCTAAAGCAGTGTCCTTCAGATGTTTTGGACTACGATCTCGCCCATACCATTCATTCAGAGCACGTGGCATCCCCCAAAGAATCTTGGGGACTGTCGTTTGTTAAGGGTCCTGGGAACTGTAGCTCTCTGAAGGGTAAGCTACAATTCCCAGGATTCTTTGGGGAATGTGTTTTTAAGCGTGTTGTACATGTATGGTATGAAGGTGACTAAGCTCCCATTCACCCATGTGATGGGATTTGTAATCCAAAGCAGTTGGATGGCACTAGGTTTTAGGGAAGGCTGTCCTAAAGGATCAGAGTATGAGGAAGTCCTCTGCTGGAGATTCTGAAGGGCTCCTTCCGTCCAGACCAGACAATATATGGACCAATAATCTGACCTGATGTGAAGCAGATTCCTATGTCCCTAATGTTGCCTTCCTTTATGAGGCAACAATGGCCAACAGAAGGTTGGGGCAGCCAATCAGGGGTTCATTTTTAATAGAAGCGTCACAAACCTGGCAGTTGGGGAAAACATGGGCAATGAGGTTGGTCAAGGCAGCTCAGAAAAGCAGGGTGGAAGCAGAAAGCCCTGGAAGAAAACAGGAATTGTGGCAGAAGGGGAAGGATTAAAGTCGAAGGAAATGGAAATAAAGGGAAAAGAGGTGAGCATATTAGTCAAAACTGTTGGAAGAGGTGGCTGCGTCTTTAAATACAGATATGGTATACAGCATTGTGGGAAGACTCAGTTCAGACATGGAGTCAAATAGTAGATTATACTAACCTTATAGGTCAAACCAGTGCTTTTTTCTAAAAAAATGGTTAGGGGTACTCTCATTTTCCTACTCATTTTGAAGTTCTGCCCCTCACTGAGGCCAAACTTAGATTCACAAAATGTTTAGGGGTATGCGTCCCCCTGCGTCCCCCCAGAAAAAAAGCACTGGGTCAAACCATGGTTTGTGTTTTTCAAACATTCAGAGAACATGGTTTAGAACTGCCTTTCCATCTGTTTAGCAATCCCATCTCTTAAGCTTCAGCTGTTTTGGCAGGCAGTGAAATGACCACTTTTTATGGATCTTCAGTTCAGTCCTCATGCCAAACCCATAGTTAGCTATCCAATTTCAAGCCATGTTTTTGGATTCTAGTTTGCTGGCCAGTTACAAACCATAGTTAAAGCTTTCGCAACCATGGTTTGGCATGATATGAATTGTGCCGGTGTCCAAGAGACTTAGCTGGACACTTGGTCCTACCAATTTCAATATGTTGAAGAAAATCGATAACCAGTCTCCTGCCTGAATGAGGTTCCATCTGCACTGTACGGCGTTTCCATGTGCTGCTCTGGTTTCAGTGTTCCGTTGCACCAGAAGCGGCTTAGTCATGCTGGCCACATGACCTGGAAAAACTGTCTGTGGACAAACGCCGACTTCCTCGGCCAGTAAAGCAAGATGAGCACCGCAACCCGAGAGTCATCTGCAACTGGACTTAACTGTCAGGGGTCCTCTACCTTTACCTTTTATAGTACTTTAAAGTGTCATGGCTTTCCCCAAAGAATTCTGTAAAGCGTGCTGAGAGTTGTTAGGAGACCTGCATTCTCCTCACACAGCAACAATTCCCAAAGCTCCCTGAGAAGAGGGATAGATTATTACACTACTCTGTAAGTTGTAGCTCTATGGGGAGACTAGGGGTCTCCTAACAACTCTTGAAACTTTTAAACAACCTATAGTTCCCAGGATTCTTTGTGGGAAGCCATGACTGTTTAAAGTGGTAAAACAGTGCTTTAACTTTGTAGTGCGCAAGTCTTTGCAGTTCTCCAGCAAGAAGGTTTTAGAAGGGCTGAGAACAAAAATTGTAGGAACCACCAGGGGTGTTGGTGGGAAGATGAGTCAGGAATAAATGTGATGACCGAGAGAGAAACCTCAGCAAAAGCAGCAATGGAGTTTAGGCAGCAGATGGATGGCAAAGATGGATGCCAACTCCTTGGCGTGACCCGCTATATATTGTGGAATGGTTTCACAATGTCCCTAAACTTTCAAAGTGGAAAAGAAAGATTGTGTGGTGGATTGCTGCCTCAGCGTTTACTGTAGCAAAGAGCTGAATCGGGAAGCTGGCCTGGCAATGACTAACGAGGAAGGGAAGGTATAAAGGATGTTTCTGGGTTCTTTTTTTTTTACGTCACATTGTTTTGGATGGTAACTGCCTGTGTTTTCTGGACGAAAGTCTGCTCCCTGTGAGGTGGAGAAGGAGGAGGTTCAGACACTTTATCTGAATAGCAGTGATAGGCTAGCAGGTGTTCAGGCACTCAGTCCGGATTAACATCCCATTGGCTGCCTTCCCAGTTGTGGTTGCAGAGGATCTGGGACTGGGGTCCCAGCAAGTTCTACACAGGAGGAGGGATAAGGAGATGAAGGAAACTTAATTCCACTGAAACCAATGAGGCTTCAAAACAGGTGGCTAACCTTTGGCCCTCCAGCTCCTATAATTCCTGATAATTGGCCATACTAGCTGAAGAAGAAGAATAGTTTGGAGTTGATACCCTGCCTTTCACTCCCCTTAAGGAGTCTCAAAGCGGCTAACATTCTCCTTTCCCTTCCTCCCCCACAACAAACACTCTGTGAGGTGAGTGGGGCTGAGAGACTTCAGAGAAGTGTGACTGGCCCAAGGTCACCTGGCAGCTGCCTCTGAAGGAGCGGGGGAGCGAACCCGGTTCACCAGATTACGAGTCCATCGCTCTTAACCACCACACCACACTGGGGCTCCTGAGAGTGATAACTCAGCCACTTTCTTGACCACACCTCCGTGGCTTAATTGGCCATGCCACCCTTCCAGGTCGGGGGCTACCAGCTGCCACTGCTAGAAAGAGTCAGTCCTCTAGCTCTTGGATAGAGAGGTAAAGGTAAAGGTAAATGAGCCCCGGACGGTTAAGTCCAGTCAAAGGCGACTATGGGGTTATGGTGCTCATCTCACTTCAGGCTGAGGGAGCCGGCGTTTGTCCACAGACAGCTTTCCGGGTCCTGTGGCCAGCATGACTAAACCACTTCTGGTGCAATGGAACACTGTGACGGAAACCAGAGCACACAGAAACGACATTTACCTTCCCGCCACAGCTGTACCTATTTATCTACTTGCACAGGTATGCTTTCAAACTGCTAGGTTGGCAGAAGCTGGGACAGAGCAACCGGAGCTCACCCCGTCCTGCGGATTCAAACCGCCGACCCTCCGATCAGCCAAGCCCAAGAGGCTCAGTGGTTTAGACCACAGTGCCACCTGCGTCCCTTTTGATAGAGAGGAGTGTGCAGACACTAGCCTACTGTACAGTGGTAACATTTATATTCTTGGCTCTGGCCACTTTTGCCTCAGGCCCTGCTCACCACTTGTAGGTGGTCCCTGGGAGGTTCTTCAAGGGAAAGCTGCCTACGGGCTGAAAGAGATTTCTGCGCCACTGCTCTAGGAGACGACAGCCTTTAATGTGTCTTCCCCCAGTGGCTTCAGATCAGCACGTCTTTACTTATCCTATGGCAAGTTTATGTAGCTGTTTTCAGGGCAAGCAGAGTCCTGTGCTGAAACAGAATGCCCACAGGTTTCCCTTTCTCATTCATGTGTGTGGAGAGACTGACTGCCTTGAGACTCTAGGAAAGCAGGGCTTCAACAAGTTCCTTATCTGATTGCAGTGCCCTCTTGTGCGTCAGAGCGCTTGGTTTTATAATTGTGGTTCACTTGTTAATCTTTCAATGCCAGTATCTGCAAGGTGCTGCAAATAAGCAGTATTTCGCTTTAATTGAAGGTCAAGTGTCTCTGTGGAATATGTGAAGATTGTAGATGGATCAGTGATGGGCTCTTGAAGCCATCTAGATAACTCAGGAGCATTAATAGTTCCTTTTTCTCCCTCCCAGGAACATACACAACTCTTCACATCCTCTCGTTTGATTCATCCCTTGTGTTTTATACCTGAGGAAGTCATTGGAATAATACCTCCCACCAACACTGGGGAAGAAAAAAACCCCTCCCTAATTTGTAATGCTGTATTTACTTTACCTTCACTTACATTTAGTGCTTAAGACAGCCTTTCCCAACCTGGTGCCCTCCAGGGTACAAGGCAGCTGGAGGGCACCAGGTTGCGAAAGACTGGTTTAAACCATTTGAAGGAGAAGGGAAAATAATGTGGGTCTCTAGAAGCACAAACATTAGCAAGACACACAATATAATAAAGGTTCCTCTTGGAGATTGTGGCTTCACTTTGTTCTGTGTTTGGAGTTAAACAAACAACAGTGCTAGTTTGGACATAATGCTGAGCCAGGGACCATGGTTTGTTGCTCCCCTGTGTGTTCCATCTGTGTTCTAACTTGAATAGGGACAAGGTTTTTAGATTTATACTACATGTGCTAAGTGTCTCACCCTTGTATATCTTCGTTATCAACAACTCTCTGTGTGTCTGTAGCCTCCATATTTAATAATGCAATTATTGCTGTCTGCACCCTGCTTCATTTCCCTTTCTTTTGATCCCAGCATTTACAATCCCCATCAGCAACAGCAACCAATGTGTAGACATGTAACTTAGGCTAGCACACCATGTATTTGATGGAGTGCGGTCTACAAAAGCTTATGCCGCAATAATTTGCTATTATTTAGGTGCCACAAGACATTTTCCCATTAACTATGGTTTACTGTGACATGCAAACAGAGCCATTGTGATGTAACACTTAGAGTGTCAGACCAGAACTGTGAAGACCCAGGTTCAAGTCACTGCTCAGTCATGTAGCTCACTGACCTAGGACCAGTCACCCCTCTCACCTTAACCTGCCGAGGCTTGCGGCTCACAGGGCAGGTACAAGACAAGATAAATCAGGAACCTGAACAGTTCCCAGCAAGTCTTGCTAGCTGAATTTGGAAAGATGGTGTTTCAGCAAAAGCCTGCCTATCCCTGCTAATGAGCTGCTTGCCAATTTTATAGGACCAGTAATAGTATAGGACCACCTCGCAGGATTGTTGTGAGAATAAAACATCAAGTAATAAGTGTTCTGTTAGAACCCTTCCCCATGTTATCTTTTGGAATAAAGCTATCAACAACTACTAGTCATGCTGGCCGTGTTATATACCTCTGCTATAAGAGGCAGTATGTCTCTGAATGCCAGATGTTGGAAACTGCAGGAGGGGAGAGTGCTGTTGTGCTTCCCACAGGCATCTGTTTGGCCACTGTGAGAACAGGATGTTGCTGTGCCATTGGCCGGATTGAGTGGGGCGCTTCTTATGGTTCAGCACTGCTAGTGATGTCATAAACACCGTCCAGTGCATGCCCAGGACACTTGTGTAATCTGGTTTCAGATGCTGCTCACAGCTTACTGGATGTACTGACAGGACTCAGGAAGTCAGAGTCTGGAGAGATATCTCTTGGTGGGCTCTTCTTGAATAAATCTAGTGTGCCTGATTGCAGCAAGATGTGATGCATGCTTTGGCTTGGGGGAGAATTGGTTTTTCTTAGGGACAAAATATTGTCATTTGAGCACCGGAAAAATGTGTCTTCACACTATCTTGTGGAAAGATGACTGAATACACTCGTGCACATATACACATTAACATACTGTGTGTATATCATCCTACACTTCAAAGAGACTTCCCCAGGATGCCCCTTTATCACACAAAAATTTATCCCCTGCCTTTTCTCATACAGCTCGATGCAGTTTGCAAGTATAATCAAATGCACTCAAATAGCAATCTATAAAAAGAACAGAATACAGTGAAATCCGGCAATCAAACAACTTTTAAATGTTGCAATAAGAAATGTCATATAAAACACAATAATAACCGGATTTTAAAAAGTAAAAAAAAGCACCAACAGAAGGATTGCATATAATTCATATGAAATACAATTCATAAAGAAATAAATAATATCACTATGGTAGTCAAGTGATAAAACCCAGCCTCTAAAAATCAAAGGCCTTCCTAAATAGGAAGGTTTTGAAGCTGCAATGGATGACCAACAAGGAGGGGGCAAGATGAATATTTCTTTAGATAGAGACTCTCAAAATTTGGGTGTGGCAGAAATGGTCCTCTCCATTATTATAACAAAATGTGGGTTTGGAACTGACAGGATGGCCTCTGTTGATGATCTTAGCGAGTGGGCAGGATCAGTTGGAGGAGCTGATCTGGGAGGTATGAGCAGAAGCTGTGCATTCCTTGCACATAAACACACTCTTCGCATTGGAAAGGCCTTAAGTTTATGAAGGGAGCCAGTTCCACCCATCGCTGGACCCCGTCTTCCTCCCCTGCTAGTCCTTGAAAAGGGAAGGGTGTCATGCTATTAATTCCAAGTTGTGAAAATGCTGGCGATGGTTGCAAAGCTGGACTCGGTGGGAAATGTTGTTGGGGATGCAAAGCACAATGGGGCCGGCTCAGATGCGAAGAGGATTATTTGTGTGAAGTGGTCTTGCTGTTCTCCCTCTCCCCCCACCCTGCTTTTTTTTGTGCTGCGAAAATGCTGGCAACCATAACGTGATTATTGAGGAATATGATGCACCGAAAGAGGTGGAGGAGGAGAAAGAAATGCCACTTAAGTCGCAAAAGTGCTTTTCAGCCTGAACAATCGAAATGAAAAAATAATTGCACTCCCCTTTTTTTATTCTCTCCAGCCTTTCTTATCAAACGACTTTATCACCTTTTTGGTTTTATTTTACACATTATTTAGACTTTCCTGTAATCCCTGCTATTCTACCATTGACACCTCCTTAATACCTTGTCTAACGCCTCTGACACTTCTGGCGCATGCCTGTGCCCTCCTATAATAGGGAACAGCTTTGGCAAAGGAGGAAAAGAATCAGGGGGTGGCTGAGTAGCGGGAGAAAAGAACAGAGGAATTATTTGCTGCTCAGACTGTGAATAATAAAGTTTGAGAAGAGAGAGGGGTGCCAGTGAACTCTTCCCTGTCAGGGTGAACTTTGCCGCCTTGTGTGATGTCTGTCCTTGTTCAGCCACCGCCTGCAGTTTGAAGATTGGGAAGACGTGGGAGAGGATGTATTATGTGCAAGAAACGGCCTGCTATATGGAACCAAAGCAAATCAGTCCCTCTTGCACAGGTGCAGACTATGCATCACTGTCTCCCATCCTATTGCCAGGCTTCGCCCTTCTATTGGCCCCTGCTGGCCCTGGCAGATTTTGAATGCCAAGGATATTGCTCTTCCTTGCAAATCACTTGTTCCCATTTTTGCAATGGCTTTACAGCCCCTGGTTCTCCCCCAAGCCAATATGTTCTTCTGTCTTGGCTTTGTATATTGTGAAGAAGACAATGCTACCTCTCTCCCAACTAGGCACCATCTGACAGCATCCTCAGCTTGCTTCCTGATGTTATTGCAAAAGGACCACTGGGGGATTTTTTTAGTTCAAAGGAAAGGCAAGTAAGAGAGCGGGGTATGGCAAAGGTGTCTAAAATGATGCAGAGTGTGGAGAAAAAGGATAGAATTTTTTTTCTTCCTGTGTCATAATACTAGAACTTGGCTGAATTTTGGAAAGTTCAGGACAGACAAGAGAAAATACTTCTTCACACAGCACACAGTTAAATTATGGAATTCATTCCCACAAGAGGCCATGATGGCTGCCAATTGACTTGTGACTCAGCTATACAGCTGCAAATAAAACGTTTTAAGTGTGTTTTAAGTGCAATATACAATTGTGACGCTAGATGGCAATAGGGAGCCTTATGGAAAATTCAATGTATTTTTAAAAACGCTTTTACAAAAAGCATTTTCAGAACGTTTTTTTACATGTGTGTAGATTCCACCTTGGATGACTTTAAAAACAGTTTAGACACATCCATGGAGGGTAAGGCATTTTTGGGCAACATTCCCTCACGCAGAATTGTCTGCCTGTGGACTAATCCTGCGAACTCAGGCTGGCCATTCAGTTGTCCTAGACAGGAAGTGTTGCAGGTTAATGGCTCCCCCAGACAACCTGTTTTTGAAAATTTATCCTGATTTGCTTGTGCAGAGCTTGCACAGAGGCTATATTATGTCCACTTTTAACTGAGCTTTCATTCTGGTTGGTTTACAGCAGGGGTCAGCAACCTTTTTCAGCCATGGGCCCGTCCACTGACCCTCAGACCATGTGGTGGGTCGGACTGTATTTTTTGGGGGGGAATGAATTAATTCCTATGCCCCAGAAGTAACCCAGAGATGCATTTTAAATAAAAGCACACATTCTACTCATGTAAAAACACACTGATTCCCGGACCGTCTGTGGGCCAGATTTAGAAGACGATTGGGCCGCATCCGGCCCACGGGCCTTAGGTTGCCTACCCTGGTTTACAGGGAGGTTATACCTCATCCTGTCAAAAAGTGGTTAGCCCATTTTTGGAGCGTTTCCCAGTCACTTTCCTAACTACAAAAAGTCCACTGTCGGCTTGCTTTTAGGTGGTTCTGTTGCAGCAGAGCACTTTCTTCCACTTTTAATTGCAGAAACCTAAATTTCCAGTGCACAGTTGAATCCCTCCCACCACCCAAGACTTGGCTTGAGTAACATTGTTTATTCTTTGCTCTGGTGTGTTCCATTGCATCCCTTGGGGGTCTTCCTCTTGGCTCTTCCCCTTCCTTGCTCATCACTTCACCTACAACACATGCCTATGGCTCAGCCTTGACAGCAGCATTAGAAAGCCCCTCCCAAAGCTCATGTGGTAGAATTGCACTTCCTGCATCCCATGTCTCTCTCCCCCCTCCCCCCAACTCAGCGAGTGTATCATGAAACCCAGCAAGGTATTGCTTGGCCTTGTAAGCAACACAGGTATTGCTGCTATATATATACCTGGGTCTAATTTCCTATTAAATAAACTGTATCTGTGAAGTGGGGACTTGTGGCGGCTTTATTGTAAGTATATTACATGCTAATTCAAGCAAATAAATTTGCCCTGGCTGTGGAGCTGAAGCGATTAATAAGCCTCGAAGATCACTTGGCTGCCCTGATGAGTTTCTTCAAGATAGTGGAGTATATTTGGGGAAAGCATTTAGACAAGGGCTCCCCCCCCCCAATTTTATAGGCTTTAATTATTAGTGACACTGTGCAAACGGCTTCATATGACTGGAATACCAACTACTTAACTCCCTGACCTTATTATTCAAATAAACACTTCTTATTATAGCAGTGTGGCTTGTTCGTCAACACATCAAATCAGCTGCCACAGCAGTGGATTTCAATGTCCCCACTGCGTCAGCGGAGAGCATACGGACTTCATTAAGAATGTAATGGCAGCCTTTAAGGCATCGCCACCGCCCCAACTTTAATTTAAGCGCTATTGTGTGTTGCTGAATGTACAGCTTAATGCTCTTAAAAGGGTCTCAACAGCCATTGCCTTCCTATCTAGGAGGGGATGTTTGCAAAAGAAGCCTTCCACATCTCCTTCAGCAACTTAGTGGCAATGCAGAAACCTGCTCCCCCTGCAAAAAATCAGGGATAATGTGACTTGGCCAAGGTTCCCAAAGACATTGCTCCACTGGGCTCACAGACCTTACTAACCTACTAACAGTCATGCACTGACGGTTACCTTTACATCACCTAAGGCAAGGAGTGGGGAGCACTTTCAGCCTGGGGGTCCCATTCCCTCATGGGCAAGCTTTCAGAGGCCACATGCCATGTGGGGGGCCAGAGGAAAAATGGGCAAGCAGTGGATGTGACTCTTAACTTTGCATGGTAGGATATATTCCAGCGATTCAAAAACAGACCCACCCTTCTCCATCCAGCCCAGCAAGAGGCACCGTCACAGATCAAGGACACATTCAAGCCAGGCAAAAGCATCTAAGGAGGGAGGGGTGGGCCTGTGAGGAGGACCAGACAGGGAGGATTGGAGTGCTGCAATTGGCCCCAGGCATGACAGTTACAGGGACGCGGGTGGCGCTGTGGGTTAAACTACAGAGCTTAGGACTTGCCGATCAGAAGGTCAGTGGTTCGAATCCCCGCAACGGGGTGAGCTCCCGTTGCTCGGTCCCTGCTCCTGCCAACCTGGCAGTTTGAAAGCACGTCAAAGTGCAAGTAGATAAATAGGTACCGCTCCAGCGGGAAGATAAACGGCGTTTCTGTGCGCTGCTCTGGTTCGCCAGAAGCGGCTTAGTCATGCTGGCCACATGACCCAGAAGCTGTACGCCGGCTCCCTCGGCCAGTAAAGCGAGATGAGTGCCCCCAGAGTTGGTCACAACTGGACCTAACGGTCAGGTGTCCCTTTACCTTTATGACAGTTACTTATTCCTGACAATAAGTCACACCTTCCTCCCACTGAAGTCCCTCTCCATAGCCCATAAGAATGTGAGAAAAGCCTGTTTATTGGATCAGACCAATGGCCCATTTAGTCCAGTATCCTGTTTCCAGTGTGGCCCACCATATGGTTCTAGGGAAGCCCACAAAGAGACGGTAGGAGCAGCAGTTCCTCCCAGCAGCTGATAACCAGTGGTACACTACATCTTGCCATGGAAGTTCCTTATAGATATCATGACTGGCAGCCATTGATCGATCCCCCCCGCACTTCTTTGAATTTGATACTGTTCTATAAAAGCTATCTAAGCTAGCAGCTACCTGTACCTTTAAGGCAGCCTAAATGAATTACACACTTATGTCAGGGGTGGGAAACCTGTGGCCATCCATATGTTCTGGACTAAGCTCCCATCAGCCCTAGCTGGCAAGGATGATGGGAGTTGTAATGCAGAAACACTTCGGTTAAATAACTCCTCCTGACCATCTTGAATCTCCTGCCCATCCATTTCATTGGATGACCCCAGTTTTAGGGTTTGGAAGAGGGAGAAAAAAATTCTCTCCACCCACTTTCTCCACACACCATGGATACTTTTATAAACCTATTATCATACCCCCTTCTCTTGTCACCTTCAACCCTCCAACTACCCCTAGAAAAGTTGATCCAGCTCCCTGATAATTTTGGTTGTACTTTGTTACACCTTTTTGAAATCTGCAATATCATTTGTGGTAACCTTCTGCTTTAGGTACTTTCAGCAGAAGAGAGTGATGATGATGATAATAATCACTATAATTATTTGCATAGTCACCCCACCTTTGCTATTGGCCAAACGAGTCTTTTTGTATTGCTTCAAAAACCTTTCAAACATATTTGATGGGAGGTGAAACTTTAGGACATGAACAATTTTTCAGTATTTTATTTACAGCCTCTGTATTCCACCTCTTAAATTCTCTAGGCAGCTTGCAATGAATAAGAAAGCCATATAAATACAAAAAGAACATAAAATGCAGCAAAAACCAGAGACGTTGTGCCCCCACAGTTAAAACACAAATTTAATAACTGAGAGGCGCAGACTTCATCAGGCCTAGGTGTGACCAGAGCGATCTTCACCTGGAGCCAAAAAGAGCACAAAAGATGGTACCAGGTGAACTTACCTGGGAAGGCTGTTCCATAACTGGGGCTCGTGTCCACCATGTAAAGCAAAGCCTTATCCAAAAGACATTCAGTTTTCTTTGGGAACTATTGTCTGTCTCCAGCCAACCTGTCCACACCACACACCCCTGCAAACACCTGGTTGGGTGATGCTGCCTCTTATAGTAGGGAGGAAAATGTCTCTCAAGGCACTGCCAGTCACTCACTCCTGTTGAATGCAGACTCCAGAGCACAGGAGCTAAAATCTCTTTTAAAGGTTAGTATTGCCAGATCTCAGGAGGATGACCAAAAATTTCAGATTGGAGTCTCTAGCAGAAGGTCTCTAACATTCAATGGTGAGGGACTAGGACCAAGTATGTTTGCTTTTTTTCCTGCTTGGCTTGACAGAGTTTTCATTATGAACAGGGATAGACAGATCAGTCTCTGCAAATTTTGCATATGGTTCATTCATATGCCTGTCCCGATTTCTGTATTAATCTGCATTTTTTAAAAATGAACTGAAGATTTGTATTTATATATTTTACTAGAATATACGTATTGAAATGTATATTGTGGGTGGTATGCAATTAAGTTTTATTCAGAGTACACCCACTGAATAACCACAAGGTGGAATTTACACATAAAAAATGCTGTGAAAATGCTTTTTTAAAAAACGTTTTGAAAAATACTTAGAATTTTGCATAGTTCACTTTCACCATCTAGTGTCACATTTGTGTATTGCACTTTACAACACATTTAAAACATTTTATTTGCAACTGTGTAGCTGAGTCCTAAGTTAGGCCCATTAATTTCAATATGTAAAATTCAGTTGAATACCATCCTTTACCACAGTGCCTGCATTTCTAAGCATATTTTTTCCTTTAAAAAGTTCCCCTAAAATATGTATATTTAATGTGTTTTGATAGTCATTTAGTTGAGAACTGTACTGCAAAGTTCAGAGAAGTATGAAATCATGTTCTGGACCATGTACTAGTTGTTGTTGTTTAGTCGTTTAGTCGTGTCCGACTCTTCATGACCCCATGGACCAGAGCACGCCAGGCACTCCTGTCTTCCACTGCCTCCCGCAGTTTGGTCAAACTCATGCTGGTAGCTTCGAGAACACTGTCCAACCATCTCGTCCTCTGTCGTCCCCTTCTCCTTGTGCCCTCCATCTTTCCCAACATCAGGGTCTTTTCCAGGGAGTCTTCTCTTCTCATGAGGTGACCAAAGTACTGGAGCCTCAGCTTCACGATCTGTCCTTCCAGTGAGCACTCAGAGCTGATTTCCTTCAGAATGGAGAGGTTTGATCTTCTTGCAGTCCATGGGACTCTCAAGAGTCTCCTCCAGCACCATAATTCAAAAGCATCAATTCTTCGGTGATCAGCCTTCTTTATGGCCCAGCTCTCACTTCCATACATCACTACTGGATGTACTAGTTAGGGAAGCATAAATTTGGTCAGTTTGCTTAAAAATGTGGACCAGGCAAATTTTTCCACCCCAAGTGTATGAACTCCCCTGCTCCTCAGTTTAATCAGACTTCACTCTTAGCCACCAGGAACACCCTAACATGCCAGATGCCATTAAGCTCCGCCCCAAGTACAGCAAGATCCAATATATGAAACATTCAATCTAGGAATCTGAAACTGCAACTTTCCATGTTAAACTTGGATCGAAAGCAGGAATATCCAACTCCTTTCTTGTCTCAAGCCTTCAATCTGATCAAAGGTGTTTTTCCCTTCTGTCTCTAGTGTAACCTTCTTCTCCCTCCTTTCCCCCCCCAAAAAAGAAAAGCAACACCTTATAGGAGAGCATGCAAAAAACAAAACAAAAAACCCAGTGTTAAATTTCTGCCTCTGCTGAAGCAGTGAATCAAATCAATTCTCCCTTTCTTCTTTTTGATTCCCTGAGCTTTTACATTTTCAACCCTGTCACAGAAGAACAGGGCTGGAGAAGCAATCCCTTTTGTATTCCTATTGACTCAATTATTTTGCCTCTTGATTTTCTATGAAACAGACCAGAATGGCAGGCTGATTGCTAATGGTCCACGTATTGTTAAAAGCGATGTGTTTTGAAGGTGCTAAGTAGAATATCTTTTGTCTTTTTATTTTTTTTTCTTTTAAAGAAAGAACTTGGACTGCATTGGAGTTTTATTTTGATTGATACAAACCATAGCGGACAAGGAAGGATATGCAAGATGAGCTTTTAACCATCGGCCGGGAGAAATAAATGTGGCTGCATCGTAAGCGGGTTCTCACAATGAAAGGTCATGCTTTGTCATTCTCTGTCTGTGCACTACATCGCTGACCTTACTTTTTCTTTGACCCACTTGTACTAATAGACTAAGTCATATGATACCCTGAAGAGCCAATGAGATTAATCTCCTGCACACTTTGATCGATAGAGGCTTGGCACAGGGCGTTCTGTCGATGTTGCATTTATACAATGTCATTGATGATCCGTATTGACAGCTGAATGGGTGTTCTCAGCATCACAGAGGGAGCTGCTTGTCACAGTTTTTTTTTTTAACTCAAACAGCTGCTCCTTGGACAAAGAAATATGGCGTTGGATCATTCAAGTGCTATAATACATATCTTCAGGTCTCTTTCTAAATGCTGCTCTGCTGATCTTAACTGGGAAATATCCTTGCTCTCATGGGTGCCTTAAAGAATACAGACTAAAGAATTGCAACTCCCAAAGCACTTGGTAAAAAGCCTGTGAGTACAGGTTAACAAACAAACAAACCCCAACGCCTCTTGTTTTTGAAAACTAAGTTTCTAGTCCTTATAGAGACAATGTTAATAATAATAATAATAATTATACCCTGCCCACTTTGGGTGGCTTACAGCATATATTGAAACATAATAAAATATCAAACATTAAAAATTTCCTGATACAGGGCTGCCTTCAGATGTCTTCTAAAAGTCAGATAGTTGTTTATTTCCTTGACATCTGAAGGGAGGGCATTCCACAGGGAGGGTGCCGCTACTGAGAAGACCCTCTGCCTGGTTCCCTATAACTTCGCTTCTTGCGGTGAGGAACCACCAGAAGGCCCTTGGAGCTGGACCTCAGTGTCTGGGCTGAACAATTGGAATGGAGATGCTCCTTCAGATATACAGGGCCAAGGCCATTTAGGGCTTTAAAGGTCAGCACCAACACACTGAATTGTGCTCGGAAACGTACTGGGAGCCAGTGAAGATCCTTTAGGACTGGTGTTATATGGTCCCAGTGGCCACTCCCAGTCACCAGTCTAGCTGCTGCATTCTGGCTTAGTTGTAGTTTCCGAGTCACCTTCAAAGGTAGCCCCACGTCTTGAAAATGTGATGGGAAAGGATTGGAAATAGGCCGGAAGTAAAGAAAACCGTATAGAATTATTGAATGTTCTCTCGATGTGTCCTCTGGTTCTAGCTTGCTGGTTAGTAGAGGTGTGGGGCGTCAGTGCTTAATTCCTAAAATACAAAAGCGGAGGTGCTGGGCTTTTTAATCTGTGTGGCAGATATATGATCACTTCTGTAAGCCTTTCTTGAATTCTGTGGGAAGACCGTAGTGAAAAAGCCCTCTGTGTATGCACAGGTGCACCATTTTCTTTGTTATTTCTGCTTCAGAGCTCTGCCATGAACCTACTGGCTAGTCCTTTGAAGTGGGGCCAGTGCCCTCAAAATGGTATGAGCCAGACGTATTTTATTTTACATGCCATGTAGTGAAGCTCACTTTTGTCATCTGGAACCATCTACTTTTGATCATTCAGCATTTTTCGTTACTGCCATATTCGAAGCTCATTTGGGTATGGATTTTGTTGGCCTGGCATTGTGTTGACCCACCATCCCAGCCTGTGCCAGTTGAGCTCCCAGATTTTGTCCCTAGCCAAAATCCACTCATTCAACAAAGCATCCCTGCCTTTCTCTACGAAAATATAAGCTGGTCAGTCTGTGGCAGGCTGATGTGATGAGTCAGAACTCCTTCTGACTCTAAGGCAAGGATGGGGAGCTGAATCTGCCCCCCCCAGGCCTCTCTCTGGCCCTCAGCACTTTCCTCAAGCCACATACCCCAGTGACCCTGCTTCAAACCCAAAGTGTGTTTGCCTGGCTGGAATGAGTCCTTGATTCTGATACGTGCGTGTAGAAACTAGCCTATGGTGCAAAGTTAACATTTATGTTACTTGCCCCTTCCACTTTTTCCTCTGCCTTCCCCTGTCACCAGCATGTGGCCCTTGAAAGGTTTCCCAGAAGGAAATATGAACCTCAGGCTCAAAAAGGTTTTCCACCTCTGCCCTGATATAAATACTGCTGTAATATTTTGCTCTTCGGACTAGCTTCATTCCGCCAGGGATACGTATCGTATTTACTTGAGTCTAATGTGCCATCGAATCTAATGTGCACCTCAATTTTCAGAATCTTGGAAGCAAAAAAAGTATTTGCTGGCGATTGTAAATGTGCCATCAAATCTAATGCGCACCTTAATTTTTGCAATGCAATTTGGCCAAAAAAGGTGAGCATTAGATTCGAGTAAATACAGTACAGTGGTACCTCTGGTTACGTACTTAATTCGTTCCGGAGGTCCATTCTTAACCTGAAACTGTTCTTAACCTGAAGCACCACTTTAGCTAATGGGGCCTCCTGCTGCCGCCGCGCTGCTGGAGCCCGATTTCTGTTCTCATCCTGAAGCAGAGTTCTTAACCCGAGGTATTATTTCTGGGTTAGCGGAGTCTGTAACCTGAAGCGTATGTAACCTGAAGCATATATAACCCGAGGTACCAAAGTATGTGTGTGGGATCAACATAGTTAGCAACCCCCATTCCCCTTTAAATGCTGAATGTTTACATGTTGTTAGTAAATGAAAGTAATAATAGGAAACTTACCTTTAAACTGGTTTCAGTGGAGACAAGTGAGTACTATATTTCTAGCCAAAAAAAAAAAAAAGACATACAAGAGCAGGCTTGAGGGCAACGTACCTTTTTTGAAAAGCTAATTGAATCTGCTCGTTCAGCATTGAAGGGTTTAGTCTCCACTCTTTTTTGCTAGACAAGGATTTTGGTGATTTATCAAGTTTTAAAAGTGTTATGGGGAAGTGACTTTGAAATGGAAATAGAAGATTGGGGTTGGTCTAGACCCTGTGCTGGAACATGTGCTGCAAACTGTTGCAAGATGCGCACACAGCGCTGAACCCCAAAATGGCCCCAAAACATCACTCAACACATCACAAAAAGGGCAGAATGGGGTGGGGCATGTTTATACGTGCTCCAATGACACACACAAGGGCCAGAACAGATCCCTCGCACGAAATGGTAGTTGGCTGTACAATGTAAGGAATTCATCAGACAACTGCTTATGGCTGCTTGTTTAACAGTTGCTAGATTTGGGAAAGATTTGTGGATGGAGATTAGCCTTGGTGGAGATCTTGATGGAGTTTATATACTTATAAACTGAAAGTTGTCAGGGATTATGCAAAGAGGGATTGATTCTTTTGCAGGGGAATGGTTGAATTTCTTCACTTTTGTTAACCAACAAACAAACAATGAATAAATAAATAAATGTGGTTGGTGATCCACTCTGAATGAATGCTTTAGCGATAGTACTAATATTTGAAATGTGTGTGTGTGGGGGGGGTAATTTTCTCACTAGAAATACTCAAAACTGGAGAGTACAATCCAGTCAGAACATGTGCTTTAAAAAATCCTGTTTCTATCAATGGCAAAAGTTAAGCAGACACTGAAACCTCTCCCATTGTAATCACTGGGATATCAGAGTGCTTAACTTTTCATTGGACTGTGTTTGGGAGGGTGGAGAAACTACCCCCTGAAAGTATTTGGGCCTCTGACTCTGTGGTTGGACCCCTGAGGTTACTTGAAAGAAAGGCATTTTTATAATATGTGAATGATAAACAGATTATAAACCAGACAGAAATAATAAGGCAGCAATCCTAGGTGTGCTTCCTTGAAAAGTTAATAGGGTGTGCTTCAGCAGGAGTGTCGAAGTAAAATATACGGTGGTTTGGTTTTCAGAATTCTCATGTGGGACAAAGACACACATGGTGAAATCTACTTTGACCCCTCTGCCCCCCTCATCACCAGTATTTTTTTGCCCAGTGCTGTTGCTCGGCTGTTGCTTACGTTTGAGAGGAGGGGTCCAGGTGGCAGCTGGGCCAGGGTGGTTATGACGATCTATATCTGTCAATGAGAATACTTTGCACCACATAGGCGAAGGTGGTGATTCTGCCAGACAGTGTTTTCACATGCAGTGGCGTAGCGGATTGTGACTGCATGTTACAGGTGAAACTCAGAAAATTAGAATATTGTGGAAAAGTTCATTTATTTGAGTAATTCAACTTAAAAGGTGAAACTAATATATGAGATAGACTCATGACATGCAAAGCGAGATATGTCAAGCCTTTATTTGTTACAATTGTGATGTTTATGGCGTACAGCTGATGAAAACCCCAAATTAACAATCTCAGAAAATTAGAATATTAAATGAAATCAGCAAAACAAGGACTGCAAATAGAGCAATATTGGACCTCTGAGAAGTAGAAGCATGCACATGTACTCAGTACTTGATTTGGGCCGCTTTTGCATCAATTACTGCCTCAATGCGGCGTGGCATGGATGCTATCAGCTTGTGGCACTGCTGAGGTGTTATGGAAGACCAGGAAGCTTCAATAGCAGCCTTCAGCTCTTCTACATTGCTCGGTCTCATGTCTCTCATCTTTCTCTTGGCAATGCCCCATAGATTCTCTATGGGGTTCAGGTCAGGCAAGTTTGCTGGCCAATCAGGCACAGTAATCCCATGGGCATTGAACCAGGTTTTGATACTTTTGGCAGTGTAGGCAGGTGACAGAGTCCTATTGGAAAATGAAATCAGCATCCCCATAAAGCTCGTCTGCGGAAGGAAGCATGAAGTGCTCCAAAATGTCCTGGTAGACGGCTACGTTGACCCTGGACTTAATGAAGCACAGTGGACCAACACCAGCTGATGACATGGCTCCCCAAATCTCTTTTCTGATGAGAGCAGCTTTTGCATCTCACTTGGAAACAAAGGACCCAGAGTCTGGAGGAAGAATGGGGAGGCACACAATGCCAGATGCTTGAAGTCCAATGTGAAGTTTCCACAGTCTGTGTTGATTTGGGGAGCCATGTCATCAGCTGGTGTTGGTCCACTGTGCTTCACAATTGTAACAAATAAAGGCTTGACATATCTCGCTTTGCATGTCATGAGTCTATCTCATATATTAGTTTCACCTTTTAAGTTGAATTACTGAAATAAATGAACTTTTCCACAATATTCTAATTTTTTGAGTTTCACCTGTACTCCAGTTATTAATACACCAGGCAAACCGATAGGATCCAGTCTGTTTTGGTTAGCCTCAGCCCTGAACACCCATTCTGTCTGCCACACTGATATTTTACTGGCTCTTTTGTCAGCATAAATCAGGGTCTCGTCGTTATTTTGACATCACCTTTCGACGATTACAGACTCAATAGAGGCAGTGCATAAATCTCTCTGGCCGTGGCTGTGGTATGTTATAAACCTCAGCAGTAATATATTTTCCTGTGTAAGCCGTGTGTGGGTCCTGGCTGTCCTGCAGCCACCAGCAAAGGACATTATCATTCAAACGGAGCTGGAAGGCGCATGGCTCAGTGGGAGAGCATTTGCTTTGTGTGCAGAAGGCCCCACGTTTCAAGCCCTAGCAGCTCCAGGGAGGTCTGGGAGAAGACCCTTGTCTGAAACCCTGGAGAGCGCTGACAACCAGGGTAGATGGCACAGAGCTAGACAAACCAATGGCCTGGCTTGGTATAAGCTTCCTAATTTCCACCAGTTTAGATTGCATTTAAAATAAAGGATTAGACTAGTGTTTCCCAAACCTGGGTCTCCAGCTGTTTTTGGACTACAGTTCCTATCATCCTTGACCACTGGTCCTGCTAGCTAGGGATGATGGGAGTTGTAGTCCAAAAACAGCTTGAGACCCAAATGGGTGTAGCTAGGATTTGGGGGGGGGGCAGGCCTTTTGTTGAGGGGCCAGAAGAACCTCACTCAGCTATGCATTTTTATTGATTTTTTTGAAGTTGCCATTTTTTTCTCAGCAAGTGCACAGAATCAGTGATTGTGAAAGGCCTTGGCCCTTGTTTACATATTGAAGTTTGCTAGTTTTCTTCTGATCTCCGTTTTGAAAGGCTAAAGAGGTGAAATCTTCTTTCTCCTTCTCTGAAATCCTTCCCGCTTCTCCTCTGCCACAAAAGTGTATATCAGTGAGGTGTGTTCCTGTCAGTGCTGCCTGCTCACCCTTGTAGCTCTTACATCATCTTTTTGTTGTTGTTTAGTCGTTTAGTCGTGTCCGACTCTTCGTGACCCCATGGACCAGAGCACACCAGGCACTCCTGTCTTCCACTGCCTCCCGCAGTTTGGTCAGACTCATGTTTGTAGCTTCGAGAACACTGTCCAACCATCTCGTCCTCTGTCGTCCCCTTCTCCTTGTGCCCTCAATCTTTCCCAACATCAGGGTCTTTTCTAAGGAGTCTTCTCTTCTCATGAGGTGGCCAAAGTACTGGAGCCTCAGCTTCAGGATCCGTCCTTCCAGTGAGCACTCAGGGCTGATTTCCTTCAGAATGGATAGGTTTGATCTTCTTGCAGTCCATGGGACTCTCAAGAGTCTCCTCCAGCACCATAATCCAAAAGCATCCATTCTTCGGTGATCAGCCTTCTGATCATCTTACATCATCTTACATCTTTGCAAACTCATTGCAAAGGAGGCACAAGAAGCTCAACAGCTTTTGAGACGAGAAATTGCTCTGTAGTAACACCCACTCACACCAGCTATGGGTGTATTTTTTAAGAGGTAATATCAGAATTTAGGCTCCTTAAGCTGCAATCCTAAGTGAGGAGTTTTTTATTTGGGGGGTGGGAAACAAAATTCAAATGTACTTTGGTGGGAAAATCCTGCACCATGCTGTGATTAAACTATCCTTGCATTAATTTTTTAAAAAGGCTTTTTAAAGGAGTGAGAGATTGAGACATGTTTCTGAGCCTGTCAAAATTTCATCCTGGTTTAGGGGTGGGTCAGGGAACTTGGACAGTTGAATGCTTCAGATCCAAATTGCTTCCAAGTTCCTGGTCCTCCCCTGGCTTGCCTCTGAACTGCTGGACGTTGGACAGAAAAGAAAGTTCTCCTTGCAGCATAGTTAAACTGTGGCACTCACTCCCAATGGAGGCAGTGATGGCCACCAAATTGGATGGCTTTAAAAGAGAATTAGAAAATTCACGGGAGGACAAGACTACCAATGGCTACTAGCCACTAGGGCCACTCTGTCTCCGCTGTTCAGAATCACAGGTGAGAAGAATGCTGTTGTGCTCATGTCTGGCCTGCAAGCTTCCCACAAACATCTGATTGGCTACTAAGAGAACAGGATGGTGGATTAGATGGGCCATTGGCCTGATCCCACAGAATTGTCTTCTGTCCTTACTGCCCCATTATGTCTCCATTTTGGCCATACAGTGGTACCTCGGGTTACACACGCTTCAGGCTACAGGCTCCGCTAACCCAGAAATAGTACCTCGGGTTAAGAACTTTGCTTCAGGATGAGAACAGAAATTGTGCAGCAGCGGTGCAGTGGCAGCAGGAGGCCCCATTAGCTAAAGTGGTGCTTCAGGTTAAGAACAGTTTCAGATTAAGAACGGACCTCCGGAACGAATTAAGTACTTAACCCGAGGTACCACTGTACCAACATTGAAGCTCTGATCTCAGGTCTTCCTCCAGTCCTGGAGAAGGGGAATCTCAATGCCGGAGCATCTGATTTACACGCAGGAAGTTCCCTTTCCAATCCCCAACATCTCTAGGTACAGCTGGAAGTACCTGAAACCCTGGAGGGCTTCTGCCAGTCACTGTGGACAATACTGAGCTAGCTGAACCAGCAACCTCCTTTGTTTCTGTGAGAGGGAGATCCAGTCAGCCCTATGATCCCTAGAACATCCTCCCAGGAGTCTTTGGTCAACCTTGAAAACAAAACAGTTTGCCGAGGCAAAGAAATTGATATTTGGGCAGGAAAAATAAGACTTACTCGTGCCTACAAAGCTGCGCAGACATAGTGCGTCCGCTGGGTGCCCACCAAATCACCCAGATTGTTTTGCCAGGCCTTGTTAACGGGCCTTTGAAACCTTTGTGCCGCAAAGACTGCGGCAGCAGCAGTGTGGCTGTGAGGCATATCAGTGTCAGCAAGCCAGCGGTTTGGGGAAGACTGTGTCTCTTTGAGCAGCCAGCGGAAGGCTGCTGCCAGGGAGATGGGACGCGTCGCCAGCCCCAGGGGTCACCCCTGATTGAATCCCTAAGCCAGGTTAAGTACCTCCAAAGCTGTGTGAGCACTTAGCGCAGGCCAACCTAGACGTCCTAATTAGCTTTGAGCGAGGAGCCAAATGGAAGCCAGCGGCGAGTTCAGCCTCTGTCAAAACAGGCGCCGACGCATTAACTTTTAAGAGAGAGGGAGAAAACAAAAATGGTCTCATTTGAGCCAATTTGACAAACTGTACAGCACAATCCTTTTCTTTTCTCTTTGTCCGTAAATTACAGTGTAAGAGAGAGGCGCACTTCTCTCTCCTTTTTCCAGCAGGGGAGCTGCCTACTGTAGTGTCCTTGTTGGGCTGGTTATCAAATACAGTAGTTCTCAAGAAGAAGACGAAGGGCGGGCGATGAGAGCCTCTAAACCGGGTCATGTTTTCTCTCTCACTGTGGCAACCTTGAGTTAAGTGTGAACAGGGGATTATCCTCTGAAGAGCCAAATTGCTATAGTTTTATCATTAGAGCAAGTCCCTATTCTCCCGGTTTCCTCCTTCCCAATATATCAGCACCAGGCAGACCTGTTACAAGAGGAGGGGTGCAATGAGGGGGGAACCTCTCCTTCCCCTCCTATTCAGAGCAAGAATGCATGTGAGTTGAAGTAATGGGAAATGGATATTCTCAGAGCTCAAGTCAATCAATCATGATGGCATGTTCTGCAGGGGGAAAGAACATACAAGGGAATAACTGTTAGAGCAGAGCATCATTTTTGTCCTATAGGGATCCACTAATTTCTTTGAGGTGGTTTTTTTTTATTAGCAATTATAAGCCACCATGCTTATGTCTTAATTCAGAAACTTGACAAACTGCCTGCATTTATAACCATCGCAGAATTTCCAGGATGCTTCCCTTTCCTACTTCTGCTATATACCGTATTTTTTGCTCTATAAGACTCACTTTTTCCCTCCTAAAAAGCAAGGGGAAATGCGTGTGCGTCTTATGGAGCGAATGCAGGCTGCGCAGCTATCACAGAAGCCAGAACAGCAAGAGGGATTGCTGCTTTCACTGCGCAGCGATCCCTCTTGCTGTTCTGGCTTCTGAGATTCAGAATATATTTTTTTCTTGTTTTCCTCCTCCAAAAATTAGGTGCGTCTTGTGGTCTGGTGCGTCTTATAGAGCAAAAAATACGGTAATTTAGTAGTAAATACACTAAAATTCTGGTTGGTCCCATTTCATACATTTAAAGCACCCAAAGAATCAAGGAAACTAGTTCGTTAAGGGCGCTGGGAATTATAGCGCAGTGGGTGGAACTGCAGTTCCCAGGATATTTTAGGGGAAGCAGAGTGTGGATGAGACTGAATATTGTGACATTTCATTTTAGGTGCTGCAGGAATTTTCAAGCAGAATTTTCCAGTTTGACGTCAAATGATATATTTCAAGTTCATTTCCCCCAATGTGACAGCTGCAGAATGCATGTATATTAAAGTGGTATCTATTCCTAATGTATGTTTTCCCCTGGTGCAGTAAAGAAACTGGTCAGCAATTAATCAGGGTAAGATGATGACATTGCTAATGTGACAACACCCACATAATAGTTTGAGAGGGAGAGATGAACGCTCACCCCCACTCCTGATACCAAGCTGAGAATAAAGTTGGTTGAGAAGTGTTTGACTATTCATCCAACTTGTTTGCTACGGACAGTTTGGGTCAGATCCAGACTTTGTCGTATTCGGAATAGTCCCACTGAAATAAATGGGATTTAAGTTTATTGTGACTAAGTCCCATAGATTGCTCAAAGCAATTAGTGTAATACTAAATCATAATTTGGCTCTAGAGGAGCACGCCTCTCTCCTCCTCCTTTGAGAGCCAGTGTGGTGGAGTGGTTAAGAGCAGTGGACTCGTAATCTGGTGAACCGGGTTCGCTTCCCCGCTCCTCCACATGCAGCTGCTGGGTGACCTTGGGCCAGTCACACTTCTCTGAAGTCTCTCAGCCACACTCACCTCACAGAGTGTTTGTTGTGGGGGAGGAAGGGAAAGGAGACTGTTGGCCGCTTTGAGACTCCTTAGGGCAGTGATAAAGCGGGATATCAAATCCAAGCTCTTCTTCTTCTTCTTGATGAACAGCCTGCAGGGAGGTTCATTATCACATAACCATGGTTACTTGTTATGTTTGAACTTGGTCAAAATATGATTTGTGTTAACTATGGTTTGGGGCAGGCATGGGGACTCAGGGCAGTTAAGATGTTGCTGGAATACATATCCCATCATCCTTGAACACTGGCTCTACTGGCTGGAGCTGATGAGAGTTGGAGTCTAACATCTGGAGGGCCACATGTTCCCTACTTTTAGTTTTGGCAAGCAAGCAAACTTCAAACGGTGGTTAATGATCCTGGCTCCCCCACCCCCAAAATGTACTGCTAGCCACATTTCTG